TTCATCCCAGAAGTTCAAAGAGGGGGGAGAAAAAGAAAAAAAATTCTGAATTTAATGAAAACAATAGTCTTATTCTTTATTGGAAATATTAGCAATGATATTTTTATTTTTAATGACCCCTTTGTTGAAAGAGCATGGTTTCCTTTGTAGAAAGTGATTCTAAGAGAAGTCACATGACTACATTTAAATAAGACCCTATTTAGAGATTTGCTTCTTGCCAGAAGAAATCAACCATGAGAGGTCTCATGACAAGGCCCTTCTAGCTTATCTTCATTATACCTCCCCACAGTCCACTGTCCATACAACATCCAGAATAACCTGGATTATTAGAATTCAGATTATAATAATCTAGATTATTCTGGACACTTAAAAAGTTTGTCAAGTCATGCCGTTCCTCTCATAATCCTCAGTGTTTCTCATCACATTTATAATAAAAGGGAAGTGCTAACTGCAGCTTACAAGGCCCTGGTTGAGCTCATTCTTGGATACTTCTCAGATATGATATGTGCTTTCTTCCCTTCATTGTACTCAGACACACTTGCCTCTACTGTTTATTGCCAGGTACCCTGTAGCCTTTACCTTGCAGTCTTCCTTAAGCTATGTGTATAGCCCTTCCCTCAGAGCTCTACTGAAAGTTACCTCTTTACAGTCTTCTCTTTTTTTTTAAATTATTTATATATTTATCTTTAGAGGGGAAGGGGGGAAGGAGAGAGAGAGAGGAACATCAATGTATGGTTGCCTTTCTTGCGTCCCCCGCTGGGAACTGGCCTGCAGGGAACCGGCCTGCAACCCAAGCATGTGCCCTGATTGGGAATCGAACCGCGATCGTGTGTTTTGCAGGCCCGCGCTCAATCCACTGAGCTATACCAGCCAGGTGCAGTCTTCTCTTGACTACCCTAAAATATTACATAATCTTTCTCTAGCACCTTATGATTTTTCTTCCTATCACTATCTAAAATTACCTAACACATCTGTTTTGTCCTTTGTTTGCTTCTCCCACTGGAATGTCAGCTGAGATCAAAGATTTTGCCTGTTTTAGACACACTCCTCACATCAGCAATGTACTTGTGCTGTGTTGCATGGTTTAATGTGAATAAATCTAATTAGAAATAAACCCACTATTTATGATCTAAGAAGCATTTAGGTAAATCACGATACATTCTGGAGGTACTTGATTAATTGGATGCATGGAGTAATATCAAGGATTCCCTGATTTTTGCCAGGAGCACAAAGGTGGCTGGAGGTTTCATTTACTGCAGAGGAAGACAAGAAGCTGATTTGTTGGAAAGGTGTTCAGTTTTGGATATGTAAAGTTTGAGATGCCTGTGGGACAAGTGGAGATGTTAAATAGGCAGAGGTGGAATATATAGGTCTCAAGTAAGTTGGTTACATTTCCTTATTGTCTGAGTTCTTTTTGCACTGTTTTAACTGAATTTAAAGGTTGACATCTCTGTGGTTAAGAATTCACTCTTGACAGACTTGCTTAAGTAAAATCTGATAGTTCACAAATGGGGCTTCTTTTTTCTCTAGTGAAGTGAGAATTTCCTAACAACCAGGTATGATGTTACAGAGTGTTCACTGGGAAATTGGTCACTTCATCTAAAACTACAAGCTAATTCGTCAACAAAATGCTTAGATCTTACTGAGGGTGTTCTGCAGGTGAGCAAATGGCTATTTACCAGTTGTAGAAGAGGCTCAAGTATGTGTACCTTGTATAGGAAATGGGTCCTTCCTGTTTCTTTTGGATACTGTTTATTTTAGGCTGCCACTTAAAAAGATAGGACATGTTTGCTATTTGTAGGCTACTATTTAGCAGGTTAAAACTGTGACTGCTTGACTTTCATGTACACATTATGTCCTGGCTAAAAGTGATTCGTTTCAATCTCAGATGAATTCTTTGTCTTCTTGTAAGTACTTTAGTTTTTTCTGTAGTTACTGCTTCACAAAGGCTGAATTCAATGAAGATCCAGTATTGCAGTGTTATCTGAAACATGTCAAAGACATTGAGAGAGGGATATTGCTTCCTTGCAGTGGTTTGGATCAGATCAATACAGTGCCAATACATAATTTTCAGCCATTTAAACAGTAAATTCTTAGCTATGATCGTGGAATAGAAGTTTGGTTTTCTCCTTCTTAAGGAATTTCACATATATCAAGTGGATTGATGAAGTGTTTTATGCCAGAGATGAAATGGAATGGTGGGGAGAGACTTTCAATTCCTTGAAAGTACACCTAGTTTATTGGAAATACCCAGTATTTTGTCATTCTACAATTCAAATGACAATTATATGACATTCTACTATGTGTACATTTATGAGTATCCCTAAAATCACACAACACATTGTCTTTGCTCTCTAGGAACTAATAATCTAGTACAATCGCAAACAGAATAACAGAGGGAAGGATATTGGGCTGTAAGAATGAATGATTAATTCTGCCTCAGGGAGTCTGGGAAAGCTTCACAGAAGTACAGTTGATTGAAGTTTTGAAAGATAAATAGGAGTTTACTAGGCAGATGAGGAAATGTGAAAAGAACTAGGATTGAAGTGATTTCTAAGAGAAATGTTGTGTGGATGTAGAAGCATAATATTTAGAGATTTGGACCATAATATACAGAGATATCAGTAATATGACATAAATACATAGCATATAGTAAAGGTGTCAGCTTTAAAATTATTATTTTTTACATATTTTAATATAACTTTCAAAAATCCAGAAATGAATGGGCTACATATAAATTAAAATGAACCTTTTAAGAAAGTCTGTTACCATGGTGAGCATGTCTAAAGCTGTCTTAAGAGCAAAAGAATCTGCTTGTGAAGACAGAAAAGATTCAAGATACCTCCCTTTGGGTGATCTCAGTTGTCTCTAAATGGATTATTTGGCTTGAGCACAATGCTCACTTTCTCCTTAGCTACTGTTTTAACAGGTGGAGACATACCTGAAGTCACTACCACTTGATCCTAGATACTTGTTTCTTGACACTGTGTATGTGTGTCATTTGCTTAACACAGCAATCCAGTAAGATTATATATGTGTATACTCTTTAAAGAAAAATCCTCACCCAAGGATATGTTTATTAAAATTGACTTTAGAGAGAGAGGGAGGCAGAGACAGAGGGACAAGAGACAGACATCAATGTGAGAAACATCCATCAGCACCCATCTAGACTGAGTATAGTAACCAAGGCGTTTTTTTAAAACATATACTTTTATTTATACATTCTTAACCATCACTTAAGGATAGGTTGACTTTTAGAAAGACGGAGAAAGATAAAGACACCAGTGTAACAGAAAACCCCATCAATTGCCTCCCATAGGCACCCTGACCAGGGATCAAACCTGCAACCGAGGTACCTATATGTACCTTGACAGGGAATTGAACCTGCAACCTTTTGGTGTACAGGAGGACATTCTAACCATTTGATCCGTCTGGCCAGGGCTATGTGTGTACACTTTTTATTTTTCAATTACATTTGATATTCAATTTTATATTGCTTTTGGGTGTGCAGAATAGTGTGGTTGGACTCTTACATAACTTAAGGAATAATCCTCCCTAAAAGTCTAGTACCCACCTGACACCCTGTGCTGTACTGGTAAGAGTCTATTTTTAGGACATTTTCACATTTTGATCTGTATTCTTGAGCTTTATTGTGCAAATTTTGTAAACTTGACTAATAATAAAAACTAGGTATTTTTAATCTTCCTTTGAGATTTTTGGATAGTTTTCAATTAAGACAAATTTAATTCAATTATATAGTGGAAAACAAATACTTAAACACTTCGGAGTGCTTTGCTGTATTGTGCATTAGTCTTTTGTTTCCCCAGTGCCTGGGCACATGCTAAATAGGCAAATTTGTTCACTACAGACGTACCTAGAAACTAAAAACATTTTCTTCTGTGTGTTCTGCAGGAAGCTGCAAGTCTCAAAGCCCGAATAATTCGCCTTTCAGCTAAGGCGTGTGGGATTTCTAATAGGTCTATTAAAACAATTTTACTGTTACCCTGCATGAAATGCCTAGCGGTGTTATGAAAAACACACGCGCGCGCACACACACACACACAGACAGAACAAACTCAGAAACCTTGTAAAGATGATCCACAGCATTGATATATCCTATTTAGTACAAGGACTAAAAAGCATGAAATTAAATGAACCCTTGGTTAACCTAACATACTCAACTCTTAGTATTTTCAAAGAATAGAGTTAGGTTTTACGATCTCCATATAAAACAAGAAAACCAAAGCAATTTCTGTTCCTTAAAATATAGAAATTACCTGCTTCTTTAGACGTAAACTTTCGGGAGAAAAGCAGGGAAGTAAAAATCGTACTGAAAAACAAATCTCAACAGATAAAGAAGTCCTAAATCATTGGCGGTCTCGGCCTGCCCGCCTTGGGGTGGAGAGCGCGGCGGCTGCAGCACGGGAAACCTCAGTCACCCGGTCGCAGGCGATAACAGTGGAGTGAGGAGCTGCGGCAGTCTGTGCATGCGCCCAGTCCGCCTTGGCGCCTCTCTTTGCAAACGGTGAGCCAAGGGTCCCTAAACGGCACCCGGCACGGAGCCGGAGGCACAGGGCGGCCTTTCTCGGGTTGGGAACTTCTAGGACAAATGTAATAGTAAGTGCGCGGCTCCCCTACCCCACCTCCACGCCGCAGGCGCACACGGAACCGCCGCCTCCCAGGAAGTGCGACCATAACCTCATCCGCCGCTTGAGAGTGGGGGTGGAGGGGGATGGGCGAGCGGAATCCAGGAACCCTAGGAAGGGCGGGGACAGAGGAAGGGGCACCTCTAGCTGCGCTTTCGATACTGCATTCCTTGTTCTCGATGGTCCCCGCGCGGCCGTTTTATAGAACGCCACTTCCGGTACCTTTAGAGGCCTCACGTTGTGCTGCGCCGCGCAAGGGAGGAAAATATAAAAGGGAACGAGAGGGCGGGACCGAGGAGGAAGAGGGGGCGGGGGAGGTGCAAAGGGCGCGCTCAGGCGTCACGTGACCGGGACGCGCCGTTCTTCCGTCGGCCATTTTAGGTGGTCCGCGGCGGCGCCATTAAAGCGAGGAGGCAAGAGCGGCCGCCGCTGTTGCTTATTCTTTTTAGTAGAGTCGTAGAGAGCGAGAGTGCGCGCTGCGCGAGAGTGGGAGGCGAGGTGGGCAGGCCAGGGAGAGGCGCAGGAGCCTTTGCAGCCACGCGCGCCTTCTCTGTCTTGTTGTGTGCTTCGCGCGGTACAGCGGACGCGCGGCAGCGGCGGGGATTACTTTACTGCTAGTTTCGGTTCGCGGCAGCGGCTGGTCTAGTCTCTTCGGCAGCGGAGGCAGTACCACTATGTCGGAGGAGCAGTTCGGTGGAGACGGGGCGGCGGCGGCTGCAACGGCGGCGGTAGGCGGCTCGGCAGGCGAGCAGGAGGGAGCCATGGTGGCGGCGGCGGCGCAGGGGGCATCGGCGGCGGCGGGAAGCGGAGCCGGGACCGGGGGCGGAACCACGGCCGGAGGCACTGAAGGGGGCAGCGCCGAGTCGGAAGGGGCGAAGATCGATGCCAGTAAGAACGAGGAGGATGAAGGGTGAGTAAGGGGCGGCCCGGGATAGCCAGGCCCTACTAAGTTACCCCTCCCCCTCCCTATTCCCCGCCATTAGGCCTCGTTCGCGCTCTCCGCCGCCCTCCAGGGCCCCATGCACCCTTCTTGCACTGTTGCCCCTTTTCTACATTGATATCCCTGGGGTTTTTATTTCCTTCTCCCGTTGCCTGCTTATTGTTCCCTCCCCCATCACACACGTTTCCACCTTTAGCCATCACCATGCTGCTCCCCGGCCCGCCCTCCTTCCCTCCCTTGCCATGGGTCTCCTCCCACCGATTTAGCCGCTAGGATTTTTTCCCGCCTGTATTGGGTGCCTTTTTTTTTTTAAATTTCCTCCCTTCTCTGACTTCTCGGTTCCCTGTTTTCTGAAGTCTGGGGCATAAAAACAAACACACAAAGCCTTCATACATGGACTCCAACTAAGGTTTATTTGGTGCGTCTCGCTCCAGCATCCCGAGACGTTGCGATTATTTTATAAGCATGTTTTGGGGGAATGTGTAGGTTTCCACCTGTGCTCCTTTCGTTTTTTCGGCTTCAGGCCGAATTTTTTTTTAGTATTTTTAATAAGTTTCGCCTCAACCTTACCGTTTTTCCACTTTACAGTTTTGCACAACGGCTTGCTTACAGTTTCTACTTTTCAGCCTAGGGAATAAATTGGATTAGATGAAATTCCCCGAATCGCCTGTTGGTACATCGGTTTTTGCTCCACGGGCGTTGGTTAAGTTCCTTGTCCACGGGGCCTGCACTTGACTGGAGCTGTTTTACCTCCGGCTTGCTGGCTGCCCTTCCCCCACCCCTCCGAGTTAAACTAACCGCGCACCTTTTTTTTTTTTTTTTGCTTTCGGGTATTGGGTTCCCCATTTGTTCATACAGATTGTAGTCTTACCTATTTACATTTTCTATCAATTTCCACTTTTTTACAAAACTCTTTTTTTGCCACTTGGGTCCTTTTTTGGTCTCCCTTGATTTCTCCTTCCCGCTCCTACCCACTGTTAGGGGGGGGTCCACTAACTTTTAAAAAAACGAACAAATCTTGTATTATGCTGTGGCATGACCCCCCCCCCCCAAGTTTTTTAGTAGTAACTTGCTTCCTCCAATTGGAGTTAGATGTACACATTACCTAAAGCTGCATTATGTATAAAAATGCATAATTTGGGAGTGGGAGCACAATACGGGAGTTAGCAGGAGGGACTAAATCGGGGTTCTTGGTTGGGTTTTCTTAATTCTTTCACTGACTACTGACCTTGGGTTAACGCTTCCAATTCTTTTTGTAGTGTGTGTGATTTTATTTCACTACATAACAAGGAGAGAGGTGTTGGAAAGGTAAAAGCAGTTGGGAAAGAGCACAAGATTTGGAGGGGGGAGAGAAGCTTTTTGGAGTATAGGGTTTAATACCAGCCCAGATTTGTCCAGCTGTTATGCTGATTGTACTGACTTTGGGAGAGTTGGAAGTGGGATAGGAAACTAGCTTTTCTTCGTTAATCTTGAATAATATATAGCTTAATTTCAGAAAGGAATGTGTTAAATATTTGGAAACTTAATTCTTTAATTTTTTTTTTTTTCTGAATTCTGTTCTTTGGGCAGAGGCACCAAAATGAGTAATTGTATAATTTGCTGTTTGGGGCAGGCTTTCTGTTAGCTCTGATTTTTCAAATCACAAAGCAGCTGCCTTTGTAGTTACCTACTGTTGAACTGAAGTGTGAATGAATTAAAGTTTTTAACCCTAACAATGTCAAAAACTAAAACTAGAATTTTGATTGGTTGCTGTACCGGTTGTTAATTCCCTAGCCATTCAAACTCCTCCCCACGACACTCTGAAGCAGCGGCGGCACAGCGGGAAGAATGGTAAAACTTTTAAATTTTATTTCTGTATTATAAAGGTTTCAATAGTCATAACTTGCAGAGGCTTTGTTTTGGTTGGTTGCCCAATGACTCCCCAGGAAATTCTAGACATTAGTACAGTAAGATAACCTGGGATATAAAACCTTTTTAGGCATCATGAGTGATCTTTGGGCAAAACTGATGCCATTACATGGTTTTTGGTCTCTAGTAATGCATGTAATTGTGGTTTGGCCAATTAAAGCTTAATATAGTTAGTAATGATATTTTTAAATCTGGGCAATACTACTGTTATTTCAAATTTGATTTGTTTTTAAGACAGTTTTGGAATTCTAAGTTCTAAATGTGAAGGTTACTTGATATAAAGTCTTGTGTGTTTAAAATGTCTTGCATGTTATACTGAAGTATTCTGGAGATGTCAAAAGTAAAAGTCTTCATTTTTTATTTTTTACTTATAAATTTCTATTGATTAAATGTTGATAATATTTTGGATATGTTGAGTTTAATAAAATACATTAAAATTAATTTCCCCCTATTTCATTTTTTTAATTGAGTTTATTGGGGTAACACTGGTTAACAGGTTTCAGGTGCAAAAGTAAAACAATTTTTAAGGTAGCATTGTGTACATTATGCAAAAGTCTGTGTTTTATCACCAACCATATTTATAAATAAAACTTTAAGAATTGGATATATATTAGAGGTGGGCTGATGTGGCTTTCCACTACAGCTCTTAAATCAGATTTTTTCGTGTGTGCGATTTGGTTGGAATGTTAATTACAGTTCGTTGGTTGACATGTTCACAATTGCATGAGTTCTCTTTGGAAGGCTGGTAGATTGAGAATCATTCTTTACATTACTCCTTTTCCCTAAATGTTATTCTTTATTATTATACTTGTGTTTTCCAGCAGTTTTTGTACACTACCACTGGAGTATAGAGGGCCAGTAATTTGTAAATAGAGTCCAATTTGGATAATATATTAAATTTTCATGACCTTTTCTTAGTATTGTATTCTCATCTACTGAAATCTGTCCTGTCCAGTTTTATATTGGAGATAAAGCAGACTTGGCAGCAATAGTCTACAGGGAAAGGCAAAAGAAGGAGCTGGGGGCAATTTGACATATGGAATAATGAAAGTTATGTCTGTGGCAATACCACCCTGAATGCGTCTGATCTTGTCAAAATAATGAAAATGATGATCTCATACTGATATTTCCCCTTAGTGGCAAACTAAGACTAAACTGTAACTGTACTTCAGTTTTCTGCTCCACTATACATATAATTCTTTTCAGTAATTTGAAAGGACTGTAAACTTATTTGCTCTGCTACCTGATACTATATAACCTTACAAGTTTTTTGAGTGATCTCTCAGGAAAAATGGGCAATTAAAGGTTTATAATTTAATGAACATTTTAGATTGCAACCAATTATTACCTGCCAAAAAATTGGATTTTACTGAAGTTAATTTTAAGTTAACCAAGTTTACGTTTGACAAATAATCTTCTCATTTTTTTTTTTAATGTTTATTTTAGAGAAGAAGGGAGGGAGGGAGAGAAATACCAATCCATTACCTCTCCCACGTGTTCCAGTGGAGGACTGAACCCCCAACCTTTTTGTTATGGGCTGATGCTCAACCAACTGCGTCCTGCTAGCCAGGGCAACCTTTTCATTTTTAAAGTCTAATATTTAACTTTTTAAAATTACTTCTTAGTCACTCAGCCTCATCTTCTTAATAATACTCTTCTTTTGAACAAAAATCTTAAGACCATTAAACTTATTTTGGTGTCTGTGCACTTTCCACCCTCTCTGTTCTTTTCTTTGTGTCCCAGTTTGAGGGACATTGGGCAGCTGTTTCATAATAGTCTTCAGTAGTGAGAAAAGTCTTTAACAGTGAGGATAAGACAGCTTAAAATTTTTTTTTAATCAGTTTGTTGTAGACTTAAAACTTTAAAAAAAATTTGAATGTAAGAATACATAGTTGTTTTGAGGAGGACATGTCTGTTACATACCCTAGTAGACGTTTCCACAGTTTACTGTGGGCTTTTAGAAAAGTTATTTCCAGAGTAAAATACCTTCCTGATATCTACAATTTTAACATCTTTACTTTTTACTTAGAAGCCTTTCCACTGGGATTTCCTATTTTGGTATGGACTCATGTTCTTCTCTGCAGGGCTGCAGTTCTGTTAGGCTAGATTCTTGAAATTAGTGTTTTAGAGACAATTTTACAAGATAGGTAAATTGACTAGTCTGCATTGGGTTGGGCAGGAAGCAAAATAGTCCCATTTAGTTATGAAAGTGTGATTTGCCTGTTTGGGAATTTTGTGAACCCTGGTATAGGTTGTCCCCCGTCAATTTTTAAGAAATGGGACTAATCATGTAAGCGTGTATTTACTGTGTAGTGTTAATATTGCCTGGGTATTTTGTCATTTGTACTGCTGCCCTAATACAACCAAATACTGAGTCTACTATTGGGATTTTTGGGCAAACATGTAGGATGGTTAAATTTAGCCTTCAAGTAATATATGCCACACATGAAAGCATTTACAGGAATAGAATAACTTTTCTCCTATTCTGCTTAAACTGTGCACCTCAAATGTGTGCAGGTTTACAAATGGAGTGAAACATAACTTCTGTTAGTTCAAAGTTTTATTTCACTTAGTTCTGCTTCAACGTTTTAGTAGATAGGGCACTGAACTGGATGCTGGAAACGTGGGATCTGTTTCTGTTACTTCACTTCCAACAGTGTGGTCTCAGGTAACATAACGTGTTTGTTACTTGGTTTGCTGATCTCTATGTGTTGGAAACAACGCTCACCACAGGAAGATTGACTACGTAGCTTGCTTTCATAGCTTGTGTGTATTTGTCCTGTGTCTTAATAGTTGATACTGCCAGTGGTTTAGTCCTGTGGAGTAAAGGTAAGCATGTTTTAGTTTCTGGAATATTACATTGTACATTGCAGATAGACATTTAAGACTATTTGGGGGTGGGCTGGGGAGACTCTTAAGTACTGGCAGTGTTTGGCCAATAATCAAGGTGATAGCTTTAAGTATTGGGTGATGTGTAAACTTTTACTTACCTAGACTCGAAACTATCACAAAGCCAAAACAACTAGGAAAATCCTTCCCTTTATAAGTTTTATGAAGAAGATGAAAAACTACCAGCAAATATACTCCAAAAATAACCAATAGACAATGTCATGGATGAATCTTTTCCCTTATAATAATATAAGGTTTAAACATGGCAACATTCTGAAATTTAAAATAAAGGTAAAAATCATTTTCTGAATTTAGTGTTGATAATCTAAATTGATTTCCAATAGAAATCTTTATGGAATTTGTGTGAATGTGTAGTAATCTCAGTTAACCAGAATCTTAACTTCTAGGTTAAGGAAATCCTACACCTTAGCCTCCAGGTAGATGGGAATTGATCTTACAGAGCTGAGAGTTTATTTTAAAAGTAAAAATATAAGATGTTATTTCTCCCTGGAATGAAATTATGAAAAAGGGGAGATTGGGGTTGAACACTTAAAAGTTCATTCAAAATCTGTCATTTAATTTATTAGCTATTTTTAAGTTACTTTTTTTAGTCACTTGGGTTAATTGTAAAGTATAAAGTGATAAGATATAATAGGCTAGAGGAATTTATTTTTAATGACTTGTTAAAATTTTATGAAGCTGTTCCCAAAGGCATATTTTATACAGAATCTAAAACGATTTAACATGGGATACTATCTAGTTGCACAGAGTAAACCCATTGCCTTCCATTGTAAGTAACTTGGCTTTAAAATAATCTATAATTTCTAAGGAAGAAATAATTTATGTGTTGGTGAGATTTCATTATACTTACTGTCATTTTAAATTTTTAAAGGAATAATAACAATGATAAATACCAAAAAATTTATTTAAATAGGTTAGTAATGTGCTTGAGTAACATTACTCTAAAAGGTGACGGTGACTGGCTTGTCATGTTATATATTTGAAATGTAAATAACATTTACGCCCTGTTGTATTTTTTAAACTGTCAGAACTTGTTATAAAACCATGTGTGGAGATCATAATTTGTTAAGAAATGTTTGAAAGCTAAAGAGTTTTTTGGGCATGGCAGGATCCCTATTCTAAAATTGGAAGTCTAATGATGCGTATTATTTTATCTTGAATGAGGTGTTTCACAGTAAAGGCTTGTTAGGGGAAATGTCTTGAAATAAAACATTGTTGGCTTTGTAATGTTCAACCTGGTGGTCTCAGAAGTACATGGAATAAGTTCCTTGGTTGGAAGGGAAAAAAGTATTAAACCAGAACATTATTGACGAGCCAGCTCTGTACCATATGTATTGCTTTTTATATTTTGAAATTATTCCTTGTTAACATTAACTGGTATTAACATAACTAGATGAGTCATCATCAGGTGATTTTGGAACTACACTTAAGAGTCTTAGATAACCTAATTTTTGGTCTGTATTTTTTATGTGAGATACTTAAAGATTTCTGGGTTATGTCTGAAAATAATCTTAGATCCATTTATATAAAATTCATCCAGGCCTTTTCCTCTTAATGTTGGAAACTTCATATCGCTCATGCAGATTTAAATTATATCACTGAGTAAATGAAAAAGCTTTATTAAATTATACTATACTTAGACTGTGCTCTATTACTTCTAAATAATTTATTTTTATTGGGCACTTAGTATACATCAGATGATTTTTCTGTGCCCTTTTAATATGTTCATTTAATCCTCACTTGCAGGTATGAGATAGGATCTCAGTCCTTTTTTTTTTCTTTTTTTTTTCTTTTAATTCTTCTTTTACAGATGTGGAAACAATCATGGAATTTTTTTCCCCCCTTGGGGTCACAGTTAATAAGTGGTGTCTTTATTTTCAAGACCCAGAAGTAGAGGTAGGATTTAAACCCAGGCAGTTTTGGTTTACTGCCTCCAAATTTATTCCAAAGTGTGTCCCATGAAGCATTCTGAATTTCTAAATGATACTGCATGGCATTTAGATAAGTCACTTGCACTGAGTTATATAACTTTTTGCTTGTCATTTAATATTATAATGTGTAAAAATCAATATTAGTAAAAGCAAGGAGATTTTCATTGCTGAGGAGGTGTTTTAAATTGAAGTTGCCTTTTAGGTTAGGTGCTAAACAGCACCCAAAAGGTGCTGTTCATAGGTAGGATGGGTGCTGAACAGCTTATAGGTAGGATTTTAAAACTTTATAAAGTACTATAGATGAAGTCCTACATTTTAATTAAGATTATTGATATATTTACAACTAAAAATCAAATCGTAAACTTCATTGCAGTATTAGGGGCCCATTTTTGTTGCTACTTGAACAAGTCTTATGACGTAGTTTTAACTTGGCTGCATAGGATTTTTCTGACTTTATCTGTGCTTCATTGTAAAGTGTTTGCACATCTCTGCAGGAGTGAACAGCAGCTTGCAAGTCAGTCCTTGTATTCAAGGCAGCAGAGGTAATCTGGATGGACAATAGGTATTGTGCTTTAAGCAAGATACAATAATATAAACCATAGGAAATTTAAATTGGTATCATATTGCCATCTCATAATTTTGAGGGAGGGCATGTCAGAGAGCTGATATTCTTGAGGCAAAAATAAGTTCCTATTTATCCAGAATTAAGATAACAGACCTTATTGTACCATACTGTGATATTTTGGTGTTCCTACTGAGTAAAGATGGAATGTATTTAATATGTTCTGTTTAGTACAGATGGAATGGATTTGGTATAGTTTGTTTATTGTAGCATATTTATCTGTCTGGTAATCTGTTGTGCAGCAATTTTCTTTGATTAGGACAGTAGTAATGTATTTGGGTCTACCAGATGGTAATGTGTTTCCCTCATAAGGGCCACTAAGGCTCCTACTCAGAGACTGTATAGATAAAGTTTGGAGAGTTTGAGTGCAAAATGGGAGGGGAGGCATTTTAGAAAAGCCGCTAATGATTAACCTGGCAAAAATGAAAAGTAACTTATTGAAAGAGCTAAGATGAGATGTATTATGTATAGTAATAAATACTGTAGTAACTATATTAAAGATGACTAGAACACAGTATCATTATAATTACTGTAAGGCAGGAGGGGGATAATGTAGAAGTAAACATTTTATTTTAAATAATTGAAGGTTAAAAAACAATTGGAGAGATTAGGGAAGGCTGGCGGTGCTTTAAGGAAGGTGGAACATTTGGCCTTCTTTAAAGGTGCTGAATGGCTGAAGTTTACCTATTTTGCTGTAATTTTTTTGAGAAATAGCAATCTTATAGGATATGTATAAATTATAGTTGGCCAGAATATTTTATATTCTGAAAAACAGGATTTGATTGATGAGTGAGGATAGCATCTTAAGTGACCTTTCATTTATTTTTAGAGACAGGGAAAGGGAAGGAGAAAAAGGTGGGGAGAAACATCAGTGTGTGGCTGCCTCTCATGCACCCTTTACAGAGGACCTAGCCCGCAACCCCGTCATGTGCCCTGACTGGGAATTGACCCAGCGACCCTTTGGTTCATAGGCTGGCACTCAGTCCACTGAGCCATACCATCCAGGGTAACAACTTCTCTTCAGAGGGCACTTAATAGGGCTAGTTAATGAATTAGTTTGCTTATCTAGTATTTAAGGAAAATAACATCCAATGCTGTATAAAAACGTTTGGGGCTTGTGGATAATAATAGACATGCCTCATTTTTACTGTTTTATTTCTTTATGATTGTTTTCTCTTAATATAAGGACACTTAATAGAAACATTGCCTTGGTGAAATAAAATTAAAACTAGTTCTGTCTCAAATAAAAAAGCCTTATTTTAAAAAGCTTAAAACTGGAAGTCAGGAAAACTCTGCTTCTGGTCTGTTTTTCAGTGTCTTTAGGCTGAAATGATTTAAAACTTAAATTATTGATGAAAAGTTTCTGTAATGACAGAAGTGGCAACTTAATATTTAAATTTCAACCTAGTTGAGGTTGTTTCTGTTCTGGAACTTGGTATGGATAACTGAGCAAGAGATTATTGCTTTACTAGTCAGCTTTCTCATTTTTTAGAAGATGGTTATGTTCTCTTGAAAGGGTAAATGTTGGTAATGAACTTTCATGCATGGAGGAAGTACTCTGGATCTTAGGGTAAATAAGATGGTTAAGGTAACTTAAGTGCCTAGGATTGGGTATTTAATACAAGGTGTATTATTGGGATGAAAGAAAACGTGATGAAAGACACCTTAAATTTTTCCCCATGGAATTAGCAATAAACGTTAACAATACCTATAGAACATGGGTGTTTTATGTTCATTTGATTATAAAAATATAAAAAAGATTAATAAAGTTTACTTAAAGCATGGAACTTTTATTAGAGAAGGTCCTGAAAGTTAGGCATATAAATGGCCCAACTCTAGAATGCATGTGCAAGTTGAAAACCTAACCGAAGTGGGAAGCACAGTGTATGCCTAAGTAAGACTTATTTTGCATTAAAAGTTAATTTGTTCTTAGAAGTAAAAACAAGTCTGGGGAAAATAGTAAGATCAGTAACACCTCAGTTAATCTGGCATCTTAAGGGAGAAGCAGAAGCAAGATACTATTCTAGGGATAAAATTGGCTTCTTGTTGCAAGAATTGGCTTTAGTGGCAATATTCTAAAAGCCCACAAGATGTTGATGTTTTCTGCTTTCAATTCTTTTTAGAGGTGGAAGTTAGTACCACATCCCCATCCCTATATACTCCAGTTATAAAGAGAAATTACTGAGCAAGGATGATTTTACTCCCATGGTGAAATTTTTAGCCCTCACATAACAAATTCTGACAGTTTACCCTTAAAAATCTCCAGTCCTGTCTCTTTATAAAGGGTAGAAGATGTATGTTAAGTTAGCTCTTTTTTGGAGGGGGGCATAGGGCACACATCTTAAAAAGGATCATGGAGTTGCCAGATCTGAGCTTTTTGGCCTTTTGCTGTTCAAAAAAAGATTTCACCCTAATTTTTTTTGAGTATGTATTTTTTGTCATAAAGTGTCTTAGTGGTTCCCAAAAACCACCAGTCACTTTTAGCATTTTAAAGGTTTAAATATTTTATTGCTGGTTAACTGAGGTTCTGCTGTAAAGAAATCATCTAGGTGAATTAGTGGGTTGTGCTTCAATAGATAATTCTTTTTGATCACTGAACTTTTTACATGATTACTTTGTCTTTATTAAGTACTCTTAGCACATCAAAAAAACTTAGTTTACAACTTAATTGTGAGACTTAAAATTTTTCCTTTTACGTGCCTAAGAGTTTTGTTAATGAGAAACTGTTTAAAAAAAAAAAAAAGGAGCTTCAGCATAGACATGCTGCCACTGTGATCAGTGGGGACTGCATAGCTTTTTTATAAGTATAATGAAGATTTGGAAGAGAAAGTTGAAGCTAAAATTCTGTGTTTTGCTCTTACCAATATTTAACTTGTAATTTGAGAAAGAGTTAATGTACAGTTTTACTTACTTTGGGGATACATTTATCTTTGCCAAGTCAAAAGACTTAATCTGCTGCTTTCTCACTATATTGTAATTACGCAGGTGCAGCAGTGATAAAGCAAAACTTCAAAACTGGAATAAGGTGTTTTTGATTTGTGGTTGGTTATGTAGGAAGAATGACATGTTCATATATTGCCCAATAAATTAGGGGCACTTTGAAAAGTATTATTGATATGGATACTTAAGGCAAAGTATGATATATATTTTTAGCATTTTAATATTGCTTTTTGTCTTTACAGGAAAATGTTCATAGGAGGCCTTAGCTGGGACACTACAAAGAAAGATCTGAAGGACTACTTCTCCAAATTTGGTGAAGTTGTAGACTGCACTCTGAAGTTAGATCCTATCACAGGGCGATCAAGGGGTTTTGGCTTTGTGCTGTTTAAAGAGTCGGAGAGTGTAGATAAGGTAGTGTGTTATGTGTTCTGATCGGTTAATAATATAAAATACGTGGATAGTTTGATAAAATTAATTTTTCCGTTATTTGTGATTTTTCTCTTTGCAATAATACAAAGAAAGGTACAGTTATTGCCAGTACATTATGAAGAGTCACGTACAAATATTGTTTACTATGCCAAGTATCCTTTAAAAATAAGCTCAACTATAAAAAGTTTATTGAATATATTTTATATACCAAGCTCTAGTAAATGAAAATTAATATAAAAATTGAGACTTAAAATGCCTAATTAAAAGGATGTGCTGTGACAGGTTTATAGACATACAAATTTTCGGAATTTGCTAGGTAAGAAAGAAATTTGGAGTCATTTAGTCTTCAGCTAAGGGGAAGTGGCAATCTTGTCTATATTGCTGACAGTTAAAGGTGATGTTTTCTAGTTATTTATGTCTCCTCTTCTGGTTCTTACTGACCTTTTTGTTTAAATTCTGATATATGGTAGCTGATGTCACATCACCACAGTTAGTTTAATCAAGAGCCAATTGACATATGGTTAGACTTAGCTATATTAATTATATTTTTAAGTAAGTTAATGTCTTTGAACTTGATATATGTACTTAAAATTTTTAAAAAACTTGAATTTCCTTAGGTCATGGATCAGAAAGAACATAAATTGAATGGGAAGGTGATTGATCCTAAAAGGGCCAAAGCCATGAAAACTAAAGAGCCTGTTAAAAAAATTTTTGTTGGTGGCCTTTCTCCAGATACACCTGAAGAGAAGATAAGGGAGTACTTTGGTGGTTTTGGTGAGGTATGTGATAATGTTTGAAATTTATTTATTTTTTTTTCAAATTAGTGTGCATTATTGTCATTAGGTTATAATTGTCACATTAAACATTTTTCAGAGTTTTGGATTTCAGACAAGATTATGTGATTATTTTGTAATAAGGATATTGTTAATATTTATTTGCAAGTTTTAGCATTTTTCCACTTATTGAGGAGCTACTGTATGCATAGAATTGCTGTGCATAGGATATACAAAGGTGAAATGGACATTCATAACTCATGAAATCTACCAAATAAATAGAAAAAAAAACATGAGGAAGAAAGCTAGATTGGATTACCTGAGATGTAGAAGGAAATGGTTTAGCTGAGAATAGAAAAGAATGAATTAAGAAAGGAGTGTGGTGCCTTTTCATTTTAAATTCATGGTGCAAATTTCATGAAGCTAATTATAGACTTGGTGAAATAGTGAAATAGAAGTTCCTGTTATGAATTAATGATTTAAAACTGAGAAATATATGACATTGGGCTACAAACAGCCTGCAGTTACATCTTGCAGACATCTTTTGCTTGATTGAAATTGAATACATGTTTTGTTAGTATTTAGGAATGCAGATATCTCCCTCAAACATCTCAATATCTACCTTTCTTAAATATTTGTAAGAGCAAGCAGCATTGGAACTGCTTTCTTGTATGGCAGCAGCCATCTAGGATGAGTAGTAGCTTCCGCCTCTGGGCAGTCATGTTCTCCAGATTTTAGTGGTTCTTATCACTCCCCATTTTCTCCCAATTGCAGTCTCTTATTCTGATTTTCTTAAAATTGACTCTTGCCCTCTGCTTGTTCTTCATGAGCATTTGAGTTTTCGACCCCTGAACTAGGCCACAAATATTAATATGTGAAGCCTGTTTTATAAATAGTTTCGAAGACATTTTATGTGGCATGGATATTCTAATCTGAAGAAATTTTTTAAAAAATTAGAATTAACGTAGATGGACATAGTGGATAAGAGCTTCAGGGCCAAATATACTACTGTGTTTTCTTTGTGTGTTTTTCCCCCACTAAACTTGTGTTCTTATTGTCAGTAATGTGCAAACTCTAAGGTATTAAAACTTACTTGTTAATATCAGGTGGAATCCATAGAACTCCCCATGGACAAGACCAATAAGAGGCGTGGATTCTGCTTTATTACCTTTAAGGAAGAGGAACCAGTGAAGAAGATAATGGAAAAGAAATACCACAATGTTGGTCTTAGTAAAGTAAGTTAGCTTTCATTTAATTGTAGACTTATAAAATTAGATTTGTGAAGAGCTTGATCATAGTTTCCTGTAAAGGCTTCATTTGGTGTGCCTGTGCTTTAAAGATGTTCAGTGGCTTCTTGTTCATCAGAGTCATTGATCAACTCTTTTGCAAGGCGGGGGCATCTTTGAGGAGCAGGAGGGAAACATTTGTTTTTAAGTAAATTTTTGTTTAGGCTTTACCAAAAGATATTTTCTGAGAAGTAGAATGTAATATAACATATCAAGCAAATACTTCTTTGATAAACATTTTGAGAAAAGTATCAAATTAGCCGACTGTATTTTAGATAGTATTGGCTATTCTGGTTATTATAAACTTTATTTTTTTAATTAATCATAATATAATTTTTCTCTTTTAGTGTGAAATAAAAGTAGCCATGTCAAAGGAACAGTATCAGCAACAGCAACAGTGGGCATCTAGAGGAGGATTTGCAGGAAGAGCTCGTGGAAGAGGTGGTGGTAAGCTAGAGCCTAAGTTTACTCTATCTTAAGCTTTTCAACTTTTTAATTATCCTGAAGTAAAGATCTTTGCTGATCTTCTGACTTTAGTGAACCTATTAATGTGCTGCAGGCCCCAGTCAAAACTGGAAC